ATTGAATGAAATACCTGTGGGTCACATGTCTTTGCTAAAAAAAAAAAAAAAAAAAATAAATAAATAAAAAATATAAATAAATAAAATATCTGAACAGTGTTTCTAGCTCCTTTATATAGAACTCAATAAGACATGGAAACTGAGCTGACCCATTGTGGCTATTGTGATGATCCTATATCAATGCCTCTGTATTAAAAAATCACTAAAACCAGGGAGGTTAAGTTGTTATAGTGAACTTTCTCTCTCTCTTTGTGTGTGTGTGTGTGTGTGTGTGTGTGACTATTACCCTCTCTCTCTGTGACAAGCTAAAAGCAGACAGGAAAAAGTTTAAGGAGTCTAAAAATGTTGCATGGATACTAAAAATAATTATTCACATGGAGTCACCTGACTTAATATTCAAAATTATGCAAGAAAGAAACATGACAAGTTAGTTGGAGCAACAAAACTTGAGGAAGTCAGACCATCCATGAAATCGTCATGCAAATGGATCGACTGAAACGAAGAGAATGGATTCCCTCCCCAACTCATACAAACTCCCTGTCAAGAGAACACTCATGTGACTAAATGAGCCTACATAAAATTCAGTGGAGTCAGTGATGATCAAAATGATAAAGATCATTTCTAAATGGAAAGGAATCAACCTTATGCAAAAGAATCATATAAGGAGAAATGACCATCACACATGGTTGAATACAGTCAATGGAAAAGGAGGAGATAAAGAATAACTCAATGACAGAACATTTTTCACATGTAAAGAGAAAAGACTAAACCCTGAAAATATAAAAGTTATTTCCATGAGAAAATAAGATGTTAAATCTTATATAACAAAGAACGGAAATAGAAAAAAAAAAGAAAGTTATAACATGAGAGATAGAAGAAAAAAAAAAAAAAGAGAAAAAAGTATTTCAATCAACTGAAAAAGTGTTTTTTTTTTGTACTCATATCACACACACCAGATACAGTTTTTATATTCAGATATTCTTTGTTAAAAATTGTTTTATGTACAATTAAAATGTTGTGGCACTTTACATTTGTGTTTTGTCTCTGTTGGGCTTCCTTATTCATGTGTTTTTGACCCTGTGAAAGAAATACACTATTGTAGTGGAATTCAGGTCATATCCTTGGCAACTGATCCACTTTATTTTTTGTTGTTTTTTCTTATTTATGTTGCAGCTCTCACGGGTCATAACACTATTCTGAGTGTGTAGATAAACTCCAACATTTAAGAGAAAAAGGATGCATTCTTGTTGCTTGTGTGCATGGATTTTGCAGCAGTTGGGTTTTATGACCTGCACGAATCATTCCATTTACAAAACAGTTTCTTATCTCTTTCTGATTAAGAATAATTACTTATTTTATCAATATATTTGGAAATTATCCACTCAGTCAATTCCAAACAATTGTGGCATTATGACAAGGAGAGTCATCTTATTGAAACACAAAAGTATTCATTATCTCATTTGTAACCAAGCGGAGTTCAAGGAATTGCTCTAACAAGTCAAGATAAATTTGTATCTACAACAGAAATAAATGATCTATAAATCGTATGTTATATCGAATCTGTCTTACATATTTATAAGTCTAGCATTCATGGATGCTTTGAATATTGCTGCCACATCTCCTGCTCTTGCTATATATTTAGAAATTCTTGATAAAATTCAAAGAATCTGTAAGGTTATTGATCCTGATCAGTTGAAATGGCTAGATGCAACTATAAGTTCTATGCTAATAGATTCTTCTATCACACTTCACTACTGAAACTCTTTTGGCTTCTTGCTTCCCAGTCAACTTTGATCTTCAAAAATTTAAATATAATGTCAATCATTATCCTCTGTCTTAATTCTTGTTCTTTTATTGTCCTCTCTCCTTAATAGTACTTTTTCTCATATTCTCTAACACTCACTAACCCCTTGTGTCCTAGTGGCTTCATTGCCTTGCTTGGAAAAAAAAAAAAAAAAAAAAAAACTTAATCGTGACATTGGCCTTAGGTGGAGCCATTTCCTAATTTTAGACATTCATTCAGATGTTTAGTTGTCCAAATACAAAAATTGTAGTAAATTTCCCACAATTACCAGAATATATACAAAATGTTGTAGATAACATAATATCTCAAATGGTTCAGCATGTGTTTCAAACTGTTGAAGCATGTGGTCTGATTCTTATCTTGATGGAATAGTTTGTCATTTCTATGGACCTTTATCTTGATCAAATATGTTATTTTTATGGACGTTTTTTCTATTGTTGCCTTCAACTGGCCAAATTGGAATCAGAACTTGTTTGAATCAATTATTTGTTCTCTGGAAAGGCTAATAGCAAAAAGATCTTTTCCAATTCAACCAGATAAAGTGCATAACCATTTTATGATGATCAGCTTTTGGTTTAGTTCATAGTGGCTCATTCTGCTTGTCTCATAATGTCTTATATTCCATATTTTTGTAAGGTATCCACTTTTTATTATATGTCAAAATTTGTTTAAAAAAAATAAAACATTTACTTAACTGGAAGATTAGAAAACTCTTTAAATCCCACTACATACCCAACATGTTATTTTGAAAACTGTCTTTTTGCTATGTTTAGTGGTTGTACACTTTTCTTGTCTCACACTCTTGTATTCCATCTTGTTGTAAAGTATCCACTTTTCATCACCTGTTACAATTTGCTTAAAAAAATTTTTCTTTGGGTTAAGCACATGGGAAATATTGTCAAATAGGTTGGTATTTTTTCTAACCTATTTGAAAGCTGCATATCTGAAGCAGTCAACATAACCAGGCTGTTGCAAATGGTTTTCAACATTTTATTTGGATATTTAAAATGATTATTTTCAAGTAATATGTTAATTTGATTGTTATCAACCTTAGCTATAGATTGATCAGCAAGAAATCAACAGCATAAAATTTTGCATCTGTCTATATTTCTGAGATGAGGTATTATGTACACTATTTACATTATTCAGACTATTGTCCTCATCTTTGTCACCATATTTGACATATTCAGTTATTCACAGAACCTTCTTCATAAATTGAGCAAATCTTTTCTTTGGTGTTTAAATTATATTTTTCCTTTTTTTTTTTTTTTAAATAAATTATAACCACCAAAAAAATGCTTGTTTTCTTCTGCCTTCAATGTTAGAATCCATTAACAAAAATACACAAATTTTTTTTTAACGCACAATGATATTACAAGTGATTGTCATAATAAAAGTCAAAAGCAATGTTTTTGAATGATGTTAAAATGAAATCTAATAACATCTAACCACAAAAACAAACTTCTATTCTCTTCAATATATATATATATATATATATATATATATATATATATATATATATATGTGTGTGTGTGTGTGTGTGTGTGTGTGTGAAATATATAGAAAATGGGAAAAAGAACTTGTTAGGTAAATAATCCAAAGTTCTTTTAGTATTTTTGTTATTATTTTAAAAAAAATAGTGCTCGATACAGAAGTAGAGCATAAATATAAAAGTATTTATTTAAAAATATGATTCAACATGCTACATAAGAGTTCTCATGTTTTTAAAACAAGAGCCAAAAACTTCAAATAATTATATTGAAGTTTTTGAACTTGTTGTAGCTTCATTTTTAAATATATTATATTATATATATATATATATATATATATATATATATATATATATATATATATATAAGGGTTGCAGAAATTAGTTGATAATCATTAATTATTCTCAATAAAAGATTGGTAAAATGAATTAATAAAAACCTAAGAGAATATTATATAAAGTCATCTTATATGTGAAATAACTTATAACTAGTAGGGTTACTTGCTGTTACCAATTGTATTATATCAAAATAGAACGATTTATGTACAAATTCATGATGAATAGTATTAATAATAACGTAGACACATACAAATAAGCATTTTTGATAGAAGACTTTGAAACAGTTATTTTCAAGACATAACAAAATTAAGTACCATTGGGTGTTCCATATTTTCGGCCTTGTGCCGCACCTAAGCCATACTTAGAAAATCATTAAGACACTTCGATGTGGGTGTAATTGTTAGTAAGCTTGTCTTGCTAAATCAATGACTGAATAGTAAGTTCAATCCACACTGGGTGCCCCATATTTTTGGCCTTGTGTCACATCTAAGCATAGCTTAGAAAATCACCATGCAGTTAATCCAGTAATAATTTCAATGTCACAAATTACGAAGTACTAGATTTTGCTGCACTATTCTTTGAGTGTAATCAGTTTTTGTTTTCGACATAACAAAATTGCAAAAGGTTACTGAAAGAAATAGTTGTTATATTAATAATAAGCAGTATTATCAAGTTTTCCATTTCAGTGAAGCAGACATTAAACACAGGAGAGTGTTATCGCCTCCTCTATCTTCTCTTTCTATCACTGAAATCAAACAGCATCTCTTACAGGTCTTTTCCATCTTTTCTCAATCAAAATGGATCATATGGTATTTGGCAGGGTGCAACATAAGCGTTAAGTAAGATGCAGAATTATACTAGGATTCTTAACTCTAGTAATAAACGAGGGTAACCAAACATGAAAACTGATAAATTAGCAAAAATGCCAATGACCAATTAATCAGGAAATGCTGATATGACTCACTCACCAACATCCAGCTCAGTCTTATGACTTGTCAGCCCAGCAGCACCTTCACATATCAAGGTTTTCTATTAGTATAAGTAGTGAGTCACCAGTGTGTTAGGCTCGTTGCATGACATGACAGCTGGTATTCTGTCAACCAAGTGAGTACTGACCAGGCTCAATGTTGCTTAACTTCAATAATCAGACAAGAAAAAGTGTTTCTAGATAAGCAAAAACAAAAAATGAAAAATATAAAAAAAAATTACATACATACACATGTGTACATGTGTGCGCATGAATTACAATTAATGAGATCCAAGCAATTTACCTCATACAGATGATCATTTCGTTCATGAGAAAGTAGTTTTTCCCTTGACTGATCAATGCAAATACATTTACTAAAATAAATAAAATCCCACTTTGCTTCACAGGAAATTTGAAAGGCAAAGGAAGAAAAGAAGGAAAAAAGAAAACGGAAAGGATAAAAGGAGGGGGAATAAGAATTGACCTATAATAGAGGAGGGAGTTATATAGATATCGAGGGGTAAGGGACCTAAAGTGGTTGTGGTGGAGTCTGATACAGATAACAGCAAAGGTTGAAAATGGACACTGACATAAATATAACCTATCAACACCTGTGCAAGGAAGAAGAATGAACAAAAAAGGCCATAAAATAATTTTTGAGAGGAGTTTAAAATATTATAGAATGGGAGTAAGAATTTAAAATTAATACTTTTATAAAAAGATGTTAATATTAATCCATTCAATACTACATATTTAACTATATAGTAAAAGTTACAATAAAAAAATTTAAGTAAATTATTAATATATTAATTCCATTTAAATATAACCAATTTCATTACATCAATGTAATATTAATAAATTTTCAAATACTAAGTTTATAATTTAAATTATATCATACTAATTATTTAAAAATTCTGTAAAGGATTAAATTTAAATTCAATTCACAAAAAATTGTTATAAAAACAATTAAATATAGAAGAAATTCCACATATAGAAAACATGTAAACAGGGAGAGAAATATTTACTTATATATATAACACAAATACACAACATAATTATTTATGAAAGGCAATGTTTTCACATTTCTTGGTCATGTCAAGAACTTTCCAGCACCCTCTTTATACATATCACTCACTCACCCAACTCCCAGTCCAGAAGCACCTTCACATATCGAGGTCTTCTGTTTATACCCATCACCAGCTTGTTATGGCTGTTGCATGGCTTACAGCACCTGGTATTCCCTAGCTGTCACCCAAATGAGTACTGACCAGGCTCAATGTTGCTTAACTTTTGTGATCAGACAAGAACCAGTGTTTCAATGTGATATAGGCATAAGCAATGATATGATTAATTACAGAATATCAGGTAATTAATTGATACAAGCCTAACCCTATCTATACATGTGGACATAAAAATAAACACTGCATGGTGACTGACTTTTTTTCTGCCTTAAGCAATCATCAGACTCGGTCATGTAATGTTGATTTCTATGTCTATACTGTTTATATCTACATATACTCTATTCTCCCATACCAAATGTTAAATAATTAAACAGTCAGGATAGGTAGCAAGAATGGAAGATTCAAGGTTTCCATGTAAAGTCTTCTGTGAGCTGACTTCAAAGAAAAGACCACAGGATTACCCTCTTCGAATATACAAGAGACCAACTCAAAACAACACTGAAAGCCATTGAACTTGAGCCTAAATTGTTTTAAACATAAGCACAAGACTATACCAATTGTCAATGTTCCATCACCAATGGAATCCAAAACTTTGAAGCCACCAGGAGAGAAAGACTCAACAAAATCAGCCTCATCCTTCAATAACATTACTATGCAGTCAATGTCATTGGCTCTTGTTATATTCCATGCTAATAAGAATATATACTTGAAAAACAAGGTGGATAAGGTTTATTGTTATAAAAAAAAAAAAACACAAAAAACAGTACAATAAGAAATAAGGTAACAGTTATGTACAAGGTCGTCGCAAGTCAATCCAATAGTGAGTGCTACTATTGGAAGGTTGGTAGTTTTTGTGTAAGTCTGAGTCCTACTCAACAGATCCCAGCTAGTCGGTATTTATCAGCACCCCCCACACACACACAGGAAGGTAGATGTGGCAAAAGGTCGGGTTTAACATGGGTTATTTGAGCCTGTAGGCTCGGCCAAAAAATCCCTGTAGAACCCGCACAAATGGGATTGGTTTGGTCAACCTCCCCGAACGAGACTCTGCCCTTTGGCAGAGCCTTGTCCGAGTTCCTCTCTGCCTGAAGGCAGAGATTTCAACCATCTAGCTGGAACAGATCCCAGCTAGTATATTTACCTACCCCACCACGAGGGTTGCAGTTGGCACAAGGCTGGTTTAACGTGGGTTCTCCAAGCCCGTATGCTTGGCCAAAAATATTCCCTTTTTGAACCTGCATAACTGGGTTCAGGGGCAGTCTACCTCCCCGAACGAGACACTGCCCTTTGGTGGAGCCTTGTCTGGGTTCCTCTCTGCCTTCAGGCAAAGAGTTCAACTGTTTAGCTGGAACAGATTCCAGCTAGTCTCTATAGTCTGTTAACTTACAGATACTTATAGGTAGTTATTAAATATAGTGTAGTCACTCCTGGGGGTTACAGGTTATTGCATTACATCAGTTCTTCTATGCAAGAATTGGTCTAATTAGTCATCCGCACCATCATCATAAAGGAAGTGAAAAGAAAAAATTAAATTCTTGAATACTAGATAAAGCCACCAGAGATGAATATATATTAAAAGTTACATGCCTTCAGAAGTTTTTTTTGCATAGGATAAAAATATGAAGGCTCATATTTTCAAAGTGATGAGCTCTGGATTAAAGCTGAGAAAGCAATTAGTTTCACAAATATTTTGACTACAAACCCTAAAGTAATCAAAAATAAAACTAAAATTACTGTGATATTCATAGCATGTACAGAAATTGAAACTTGCTCAAGCTTTATTTGGCCTTATGGCTAAAATTCTTTTTTTAGCTAGATTCCTAGAAAGTTTTTTTTTTTTCATTTTGGACAGAAAATGCTGGAGTTAATTTCAAAATCTAAAATGAAGTATTTAAATTTATCAGCTTACATCAAAGCAAAATATCATTCATATTTGTGCTCGGATTTATTTTCATTTTGATATCTTATAAAAATGAAAATAAAAAATATATAAGATATTTAAAGGAAAATAAAAATATATATCACATAGTTTTATTTTCCTTTTGATATAATTTTTCATATTTTATATTTTTTTTTTTTACAAAATGTTTCAGAAGTTTTAATAATTTGTGTGAAAAATTAAATTGACAAAAAGTAAATAAAAGCTTCTTTTTTTTTACCACAACAGTTATAAAATTGTATAAATATTTGCTTTGAGTGAAAAATGTTCTTAATATTAAAGCTTTCTATTTTATGCCTAAAATCTTTTTTTTTTTTTGTGATATTTTGAAAAAAAAAAAAAAAAAAAAAAAAATCCTTTGTGCTTTAACTTACAAGACTGAAACAGAATGGATGAATAGAAAAATATGTCTTCCCCAAATCTCCCATGTCAGGAAAGCCGGCCTGGCTTGAAAATTAATATTTCAACTCATGGTATTTTTATGGACACATGGCCAAGTAGTTATAATGTTAGCATTCTGGTCCTGAGAACTGGATTTGAATCCATGATAGATTCATCAAAGTGATAACTTTTTGATAATATTGGGGAGATGATCCCAGCCAACAACCCCACTAGAAAGTGATGGACAACCATATCATAGATTGACCCAAGTTTTGTGATTGAAATTGCATGGAAAAAACTGTTTGGAAGCTGTTGTGTTAGCAGAAAGTCACCAATCTTTGGAAAGTGGAGTTGAACAAGAGAACACCTTTCATTGGTATGCTAATTGCAACAATTCAAATTTTAGAGAGAAAAATATCCTTATACTTAAAAAAAAAAAAAAAAAAAAAAAAAAAGAAAAGTATATTTTATATGTATACATTATATGAGTGAAAGATTCTATTTAAAGAGAAATCATCAGTTGATCAGATATCAAATTTATATAATATTCTGATAGTTTTTCATGAATTTATTTTTCTAGTCTTTAAGTACATTTATGAAGATATTAGTTGGAATAATTTATCAAAATAAATTGAAGCAAACAGTGCATATATATCCTTACATATTTAATCTTAGAGTCAAAATACCTTGTGATTAAGCAATAACATTTGATAAGCCTATATTTTGCCATGTCTTTTTGAAAAAACTGGAATAAATTTTTAAAAATGCAAAAGTTGTATAACAATGAATTTCAGAACATTTATGTGTAAGTCAGTAAATATATTGCCAACTGCTTTTAAAATATAAACCACATGTTGGCTCTGTGGGTGTTGAGGAAATACAAATGAGTCTGAACAAATGGACATACTTGGAAACAAGAGGCCATTCTGAAGATAAGAAATGACACTGATTTGCAGGGTGCCTTCAAGTCAAAACAGCTCTGATGATGATGATGATGAACTACTCTTAAATTTTCAAATATAAATATCTCCAGTCCTATATGGCGAACACAATTTTATATAAGAATTCTTCTAATCTTCCTCTTTACAAATAACACAAAAATGAAATTTACCTTTTATACAAACTTATTTTTTTTTATTCAAATATGTTGCTTTTTTTTCTTTGTCAAAAGTGCCTGGCAGGACTTAGATCTTTGCCATGTTCTTATAATTAAAGTCTGAAACTGAAAAGATAAGCAAGAAAGCCATTTTATGAAATAAACAGTCAAAGGTGCAGTCTTTCCTGATTTTTATAAAGTTTTTAGAATTGTTCACTTTGAAATCATTTTGCTGGGTGAGGCTTTTTCCTTTAGCATGAACGCTAGTTTAACTTTTAATGTGATGAATAAATATTGATTTTTTTTTAAAGGAAAAAAAATGGCATCCAACTTAGTTCAGTGACTTAAATATGTATACAGAAAGTTTAAAAAACGTATGTGCGGGCATCCAAATTTAATTTTGATGATGAATAAATATTTTAAAATTTTTACCCAGCCACATACACATCTACAATTGCAGTCTCAAAAACTGAACACTGTATTTGATGACTAAAGAGTGCAAATAAATAAAATAAATAAAAATGAAAGAACAAAAAAGAGAGAGAGATGAATGAACAAAAAAGAGAGAGAGAGAAAACGATAGAGTGAGAGAGAGAGAGAAAACGATAGAGTGAGAGAGAGAGAGAGAAACGATAGAGTGAGAGAGAGAGAGAGAGAGAAAACGATAGAGTGAGAGAGAGAGAGAGAAAACGATACAGTGAGAGAGAGAGAAAACGATAGAGTGAGAGAGAGAGAAAACGATAGAGTGAGAGAGAGAGAAAACGATAGAGTGAGAGAGAGAGAAAACGATAGAGTGTGAGAGAGAGAGAGAAAACGATAGAGTGTGTGAGAGAGAGAGAAAATAGATGGAGAGAGAGAGAGAAAACGATAGAGAGAGAGAGAAACGATAGAGAGAGAGAGAGAGAAAACGATAGAGTGTGAGAGAGAGAGAGAGAGAAAACGATAGAGTGTGAGAGAGAGAGAGAGAAAACGATAGAGTGTGAGAGAGAGAGAGAGAGAAAACGATAGAGTGTGAGAGAGAGAGAGAGAGAAAACGATAGAGTGTGAGAGAGAGAGAGAGAGAGAACGATAGAGTGAGAGAGAGAACGATAGAGTGAGAGAGAAATTCGTAGCAATTTTTACAGCAATTATACTTAACGTTGATTATTAACTAACACAATTATTAAAAATATGTACATAAAGGAGGAGAATGACTCCCTATGTAGGTTGTTAACTAATGAGAAGTAAGAAGCCCCTTTAGTGAAAGATAAAAGTAAAATAAAATACGACAGTAGTGCTAGTTACGAAATGAAGTATGACGTTTATTAATTATAGAATGAATTGTATCAATTGTAAATCTATTATTGAGTTATTTGATTGAATTTCTTTTAAATACATTTTTAACTTAAAATATAAGGAACTTAAATTTTCTTTTTAAATAAATGTTTGGAAGGAGAACGAGACAGGTTAAGTAAAGAAAGTGATCCACAGCTTTAGCTCCTAGATAGCGAACCGATCTTAAAAAAAAAACTATATTGTTATGATGATGCATCAAAAACAAGCGTCCACGTGTAGATAGCTTTTATTGGATATTGAATTGATGAATAGTTGAAGTGAGTAGTTGTGAAAATAAGAGGGGAGGTTTGTTAGTTAATAATAATAGACTCATACAGAAAAGTTAGTAATTTTAAATTTATTTCCGGAAGTCTCAATTTTGTATTTTGGGGAGAGAGTTTAAGAAATGATGCCGACAAGAAATAAATAGCCCTAAAAACTCTTCCCTGCAGCGTGGATATAGGATCAAGATAGGAGGAAAAAGTTTGATCCTACACTATTATTCCCCATTGCAAAAAGGAGGTGAATAAAGCAAGTGTAAAAAGGCATACAAGAACATTGTAAGGAAGCATGGTTCTTATTTTAAAGAATATACCACAAGTTCTTTTTTATTTCTTTGAAAGTTCACTGAGATGGTATTTCCAATTCAGGTTGTTATCTAAAAGTACACCCAAAAATCTAACAAATTTAAAACCCTCTGTATGCATACTTTACCAATACTAATCATACCATCAAAGGAAATATTTGTGCATGGAGAATGAAAGATAATATAATTAGTTTTATTTATTGAGTGATAATTTATTAACATTAAGCCACTTTTTAACAGCTTCGAGTTCAGTGTTACTGTTAAACAGTTTTGCTGTTTTGAATAGTGTTTTAGTTTTCACTTTTCATAGATTCTGATTCACAATAAATGTTAGTGTCATCAGCAAATAAGCGTTAACCGTTTTGATACATTTGGTAAATCGTTAGTGATGAAAAAAAAAAAGGCTGCGGTCAAAGACTGAACCCTGCGGTACACCACATGTAATTGAAATAGAATTTGAATTAATATTACCAATGGAAACGTATTGATCTCTATCAAATAAGTATGATTTGAACTAATTAAAAGCATTTCTTTTGATGCCATAATGATAAAGATTTGACAGTATGATTTCATAGTTGACGGTATCAGACACATCCGGTCTTTCCTCGATCCAATGCGGATCTTATAGCCCCAGTTATGCTTATCAAACCATGGTCAATAGTGTTTGGCTTGAAATTCAAATTGCAAAGAATAAATAAATTTGTGGTAGTTGAGGATAGAATAGAGACGTGTGTAAATTAGTTTTTCAAATATTTTAAATACTGGTAGAAGAGAAATCGGCCTATAGTTTGATGGTAATGTTGAGTCTCCATTTTTAGAAATAGGTATAACTTTGGCAGTTTTTAATAGGAAAAATACCTTGGAAGAAGGACTGCTTAATAAGTTGAGCAGGAGGTTGAGAAATAAAAGAAGTTTCAATAAATTGGGGCCAGCCGATTTAAAAGGATTAATATTTGATATAACATCTGTAACTTCCAAATGGGTAACAGGTGTAAGAAATAAAGATTTTGTATTTTTATTAGAGAGGTAATCAAGAGGAGATTTAGATGTTTTGGGAGTATTCTTTGATATATTTTCTGCGACACTAACAAAATAGTCATTTAAGACGTTTGCCATCTCAACCGGGTCAGATGTAATCTTTTTATTACTGTTTTTAATATTATTGATAAGTAATAGGGTTTTTGTAACTAATGAACGATTTTAAGCCAGACCGTTTTTTTGTTTTTTTTCATATTTTGAGTGTTAGCTGAAAAATAATCGTGGAAATAATTAGTTTTCTGTCTATATTTCTGAGATGAGGTATTATGTACACTATTTACATTATTCGGACTATTGTCCTCATCTTTGTCGCCATATTTATTACAGCGTTTCGGCCGTTGTACGCTCCTACATTCATCGGGTGGTTGGAATGCCGAACTGAACCCTTTATTTCGCTCACTGGTGGAGAACTTGGAGAAAGGAATTAACAGGAGATAACTGACATCCATTAGACATGGCACGTGGAACTAGAACAATCTACCCCAGTGAGCGAAATAAAGGGTTCAGTTCGACATTCCAAACACCTGAAGAAGGCCGGAGCGTACAACGGCTGAAACGTTGTAATAAATATGGCGACAAAGATGAGGACAATAGTCCGAATAATGTAAATAGTATAATTAGTTTTGTTTACTTTCACTTCTGTAGCCGTACGGTTTCTAAAAATCTTTTGTAAATGTAGATATTAGTTTCAGAGAGTTTTTTTTTCTCAATTGCTTATGGGTATGATCTCTGATTTTCATAAATTTTTGTATTCTGTCGTTTATCCATAGTTTATTCCTAAGTTTAATTTATTTCCAGATAAATTTCCTAATTCGTACATGCGTGTTGATTAGCGATGTAATATCACTTAGAAATTTACTATAATTATTATTAACATCTGAATCGTTTTTATTCAAGTATGAGAAGTGAACTTGATGAAAATCATTAATAAACTTTCCTTCAAAGTTAGAGTAATGATATTTTTAACACATTGGATTTTTTTCAAGAACCAGAAATTGAGGAAAATGGTCAGAAATGTGTGTCAAGATGTTACCACAGGTTATTCGTGAACAGAAGAGATTAGTGCAAATATTATCAATAATAGAAGAGTGATCAGATATTCTTGTAGAATGATGACTACGTGGCAGGAAGTTGTTCGAGAAAAAGTTATTGATTCATTTTAGACGGCATGGGTGTCATAATTAAGAAGATTAATATTAAAATTACCCATTAGACAGATAGATAGATAAGAATAGACTGGAAATAAGTAGAAAAACGTTCTACATCTGAATTTAAGTAAGTACAACAAAATAATATATTTTTGTCGCTTTTGCTTTCACCCTCAGTCCATATGGTTTCAAAGTCGTTTGACTTGTAATTTAAATCATCACGGATATTGGAAAGAAGAGATAAATTTGATATATAATCCGGTATCACCATTTTGTCTAAGAGATGTAGTTTTGAAGAATCTATATCCGGGAATATTAAAATTACTCATTATCGGGTTTTTAATGGAATCCCATATTTCTGATATTCCAATTACATGAAATGACTTCTTTGAGAGGGCAGCTAAAGAAATTGATTCGTCATGATGATGAGTTAGGCTTCTTATATTAATTAGTGTGTAGAATAGAGAAACTATGCGCTTTGGTATTAAACGAGGTTACTTCAGGGATAGTGAAATACCGTGAATTAATGGTTTGAGGAATGCGTTCATCGTCACTAGACATTTTGGAATGAATTGAAGTCATTTCAAAAGTAAGAAGGCTATTATTACTGAAGGAAGACACAAAAAAAGTTTGAAAGTTCTTCATTAGATAAATCATAAAAAGGGAAAAGAGTTGTAACATTTTGAAGATACGAGTTAATTTAATTAATATAACTTACTTCGGAAAATGAATCCAGATAATATGGGACGAAAAATAAGAATAGAGAGATTTAAAGGCTTTAGGGTTTGATAAAGCTTTGCACTTAAATAAGAAAAAAAAAAGAAACAAAAAAAAATGAGAAAAAAGAAAAAAAAATAGAAATTACACTACAAAACATCGATAATTAAATTAATAAAAACAAATAAAAATTAAGCCACAAAATTAAATAACCAGTTACCAGAATTTTTAAACCCCATTTATATACCATGTTCCTCTAGAAAAGAAGCATCTATTTTTCTTTTTATGCAGTTCAATTTCTTTTGAAAATTTATTTTTTTATTACCAGATCTTTCTTGGGTAAGTCTTCGTATAAGGGCTATCTCTTCTCGAAAAAGTGTTTTCTTTGTTTCAACACTTCCTGTCTCTCCGTTCGTCGAACGAAACTAATAATGTTTCTGTTTCTTCCCTCCTCGCCTACACGATGACAGTTTTCAATCTCAATTTGGTTGAAATTAAATTCCTTGAAGTCAGAGCATACTTTCTTTTAACAGTCATTGTTTGGCGTTTCTTTTATATTTCCAAGTCGTATCTTGAATGCCTTTCCATTTCTAAATTATGGTTTTCGCCTTTGTCTACCATTTTTTTTCTAGGGAAAATATTTTCTTGTTGTGTTAGGCTTCATTCATTTGCCTTGACTAATTGTTCGTTTAATTAAAAAAAATTGCTACCTTTTTTAATAACAATTTTCTAGATCCGTGATTTTTAGAATATACCAAATTTACAGTAGTCGACAATGTTCATGGTTGCGCATTCGTTTTCATGCATTGATAGCGGGTGAAATGTACTGTCGTCGCCGTTAAGTGGCCAAAATGAACAGTATTATTTTGGTCAGCCATCTTAACTAGTTTTTTATTGAAGTCGCTAGTAAGTTTGAATGTGATTTTTTTTTTTTGATGTCAGTGTTGAAAAATGTAAAATAAGTAGAATAAATAAATAAATAGAATAAAGTTTACTAAAAAAAGAAAATATACAGCTTTACAAGAGATAATAATTTTTGTAGGCATAGAGCTCTCAAAAAGCCATCCAACTATTCAGATTTTCATTTCCGTATCTTGACCGACCTGAACGAAGTAAAAAAAATTTCTCCTACGTTTCTTAGATTGCAGTCTTATTTGCTCAAGCCTTTAACTTGAAGTACTTTGATACCTTTATCTATTAAATAATTGTCTTACTTCAACTTGAAATTGGAGACAAAACCTAATTTTTTCTTCCAAGAAATATTTCCATTACACTTAAACACAACATTTTTAACATGAGAGAGAAGAAAGAAAAAAAAAAAGACTTTTCTATGCTCTGTGTGTTATATACGTGCGCGTGTAGCCAAAATTGCAGTGTTTTTAAGTGATTGATTTCGAAGACAATATTTAGATCTTCGTACAGATTCATTCAACTACATCGATACCATTTTGTTGCACTACCTTTCGCTATCTTTAAGGTAGCTTCATGATTTGGTATCTTTTGGAGCAATGATCTGCTCTAAGTGGCTTTTACAGGTTTCCGCCCAAGCATCATAAGGATTTCTGTATCCAAGTGTTTTAGAATACCTTATAATGGTCATGGAGTATCTATGATATTCTGTCTTGCAGGACCTGAATAATTTTTATCAGCATTTCAATTTGGTCATGATCAATAACTGTAGGCCTGCAAAAACATTTGTGTGTTTTTCATAGAGAAATTTCACTTTTC